ATTTTACTACCTATAATCTCCTATAGCATGCTTTTACAAATAAATTGAAAGTAATATCAACTGCTGATGGTGGCTTCATCAAAATATGTTCAAACAATCAGTTTTCACTCTTTAAATCTTTATTATAACAAGGCAATAATGAACAATAGGTATATAACTGTATTATTACATTTAAAGCTGGGCATTAATGTTTCCTAGTAAACTTTAACTGGCATATGTTGTATTTCACTCCCATAAGTTTTTACATATAAAACTTATTCCATCAATAAGACCATTATTAGTTTGAAAAAAGTTCCTTCTAGGAATTAAATCTATCACTTGAATTTTTTTTTTGTTTGTCATTCACTTACCCACTATTAGCCATATATATATATATATATATATATACACACACACTTTTAAGGAATTAATGGATTTTATTTATAATCTGACATTATTTCTTATTGTTTTAAATGTTATATTTAGTGGGTACACATAGACATTCCTCTTTATTAAGACTCTCAAATGCACAGGTCAATAGACAAATTTATACTGCTTAAAAAAATAGGGATGCCTACTCAAACATATGTATACAGTAAATGTAATCTTTAAAGTAATAAGAAATATATATTTTCATATCTTTTCATGTAATTGTATTAAAGAGAAGAATAAGGTTTCTGATTTTGAATACTCTTATATTTTTCTCTTTAGAAGAACTTTTCAAAAAAGATTTTATTTTCATCATCATCATCATCTCTCATGAGTTAAACATTTTGATTCAGTATTATTTTAGGGAGCAAGTTCTTTAGAGAACTTGTCTCATAGAAAATATTTAACTTTTTTTATGTTAAAATAAACCTGTTTTTAAATTGAAGTTTTAATTTATAATGACTGAAATTAATTGAAATATGACTAAAGCAATTAGAAAGATCAATTAGCACATCTGATTAATATCGTGAAGGTAAATTTTAATAATTTAATTATTTTTAGTCTCTTATTGAAACCTATGTTTTTTATTGTATTTTTATTACATATTCCATTGGTTTATAACCTATTCAATTAATAATTTAGCAACTTCTTATTAGTTATTTAATCATATATTTGAATAGAGTAAAATGACAAAGTTATGAAATATGCGATAATTTTGAATGCAAATTATAATAGATATTACAAAGATAATCTGAATTCTAACAGGATACATAACAATGTAGTTATAAGGATTGCAATTCAAATTCATCTAAAATTATGTTCAGTCCCTCTTATTATAGTATTAAAATAACGATCCATTGAACTTTATAATTTATATCCTAAACATTATGAAAATTCATCAGTATGTCTTTTTGATAAGCTTGTTTTTGGCTAAAACTATTAATGTTCATAAAGGTTATAAATATATATATACATATATATTATGCATCTCATGCTTTGGAGCTTCATTGAACTAAAGTCATGTACCCAGTGATGTAACTACACATATGCACAAAGGAGAACAGACACTGAGATTTTCAATTTTTAAATAGAAAATTTTTTTTTTTGTGTTCAGGCATATATATTTTCTTCCACATATACACACACACACATATATATATATATATATATATATATATATATATATATATATATATATATATATACATATGTATACATGGGAGAATATGATATATAAATTTCTATATATCATAACAATGTTAGGCAAATGAATGATAAAGTGGAAAAAATTCTATGTAACATTTCATCCCCTAGGACATTATTATACTCAAGTGATGTTTTTGTTGATGGAATTATATGTGTAGGTGGGGGGAGATATAAAAACATGAGCATTGGTTACAATTATGTCTCAACAGGAAACACTGAGAATGTTGGGACACTGAAATTTTAAATAAAAAAAAAAAAGAAATTCGGTGTTTTAACAACTTCAGTGTTTCCTGTTGGGATATAATTGTAACTAATGATCAGTTTTTATATCTACCTTTCCGATAAAAACATTAGTTCGATAAGTCCTTCTCAAGGATGAAATGCATTATATAGAAGTTTTTCCACTTTGGCATTTATTTGGCCTTGAGCAAATCTAGTCATTTTCAGGGTAAACATTTTTGTGTAAGTGGAGATTATATACATATGTGTGTGTGTGTGGGGGGGGGAATAAATTAGCTTTCTTGAAACATATACAGATTATTCCAAAAGTAACATATAGCTTTTAGAATGTTAAATTATTGATAAACTGTTTTTATTTATTGGGTAAATAGACAAATTTCTAGAAGGAAAAAAGTGCAAGAAACTTTGGCATACATTTAATATTTTTGTAAATGAAATTTTAAAAATGGCAGGAGATTTTATATGTGAAAATTAATATAAGCTTTGTGCACCCTGCTCCTAATTTGGCAGAGTCAGAATTAAATTTTTAAACCTCATCATGACTTTTGGGACACACATGTATACTGATTTTAGATTGGATAAAATTTATAAGAGAAGACTTGAAATTTTAGTAAGTAATTGCTACATGTAATTTCTTAATTTTGTTAGATTTTCTGCTTATTTTGCGCATATTTAAATTTTGAAATAACTTCAAAGAAGTGAATGAACATTAAACCAGATCAATTTAAAAGAAGGTGGAACTGTTGAAAAACTGAACAGTAATGTCACTATGCATAATTGAAATCAAATTAAAACACGTAAATTTCTGAAATAAGTTATTCCAAAAAAAATTTCGCTTGAAGATGGAACAGAGCTTTCTTTAACTCAATTTAATTCAAATAATTATATTGAAGTTTTCGGCTCTTGTTTTGAAACATGAGACCTCTTATGTCGCGAGTTGGAATCATATTTTTAAATAAATAATTATATTTATGCTCTACATTTGTATTGAGCACTATTTTTTAAAAATAATAACTAAAATACTTTGGATCTACTAACCAGTTCTTTCCTATATATTTTCACAAATATATATGAGTGTGTGAATAAGAAGACAAGAGAAAAAAACTATCCCTAGCTGACACGTTTCGCCCCCTGAGGGACTTTCACTTTATCAAGGCAAATGTAGGATTTATTTTGTTGCACGCGAATTATGGCATTTTGCGTCCTCCACGTTTTGACTGACCTATCAACCACCTGATGAATATTCATGAACGTTCTAAAATATAAGAGCCTTCATAAACCAATGAGATCCTTGCTCTTCTTGTATATAAACACGTGCAACAAAATAAATCCTACATTTGCCTTGATAAGGTCCCTCAGAGGGCGAAACACTTCGGCTAGGAATAGTTTCCTACTGTCTTTTTTTGTTCCAGATACAATATCTGAAAATAATTTACATAACTCTATGATCTGCTTTGAGAAAAAGTTATATTTAGTAGGCGAGTGAGAGAGATTATCATTGAAATTGCTCCGTCACAACTTAATACTACCTTCTGTGTATTATGTGGAAAAGTTAGCTTTTATTTTGTGTGCCTAGATTATTTTTATTTAGATGCAAACATAAATAAATAAAGGATATAATTACGCATTTAATAGTTATCTCCCTTGAATCCCCCCTTGTAGTGGGAGTCTCAAAAAAGGATCCCAACAATATTATTATTATTATCATTCAGTTCTAAATCCGGATATTTTTTTGCATTATTTAAGCTTGCACATTTTTTTTTGGTTAACTTAAATCAATAATTCTAGCTACAATGCACCATTTCTACTCTTTAGTAGATGCAATACAGACATAGGTATATGCGCGTTAATCGTGCCTTACAGTTTGAGCCTTTGAAGTTACAACTTAAAGTTGTTGCAGTGTAGAGAAAAATGTTTGCGTGTGGACCCAACAATTCTTGGCTCAAAAATAAAATCAGTGACAGAGAGAACACTAACACTGAATCAATTGAGCAAGAAGAAGACAACATGCAATCTAAGGAGAACTTTTTTTTAAGACATGAAAAACAAATATCAAGTAGAAAACAGGGCTACACTGAAAATTGTTACAGTCATGTTGGAGTTCTCGGGAAAAGGACTATTTTTTTTTTTTTAGCAGTGAAATGAAACACAGTTCTTCTACACAGTTAAAAATGCATTTCTTGGGTGTTAGTTAATGTTCCTTAGAAAAAAAGGGTCTGTAATAAAAAAGCAATGCTGTTTGGAAAACAGAAGTGAACAATCACAATTGTTTAGATTTTTTTTCTTCAGTTATTATTAGCCAAAGAGATCAAGATAGGAGATAGAAGCTGTTTTCAACTTAATAGTCTTCTAAAATAAATTTTAGGACCTGACAGTTATGTTATTGAATTCTTATCATTGGGCTAAAAAGCTGACTTCATTGGTATTATTAACTAACTGATCTAACCTTCCAAAAGATTTTACATTCGTTCCGTTCGGTTAACATAACTGATTTTTTTTACGTGAAATAAAAAAAGAAGACTTTTTGTAACAATCGTTTAATTATTCTTTGAATGGGGGTGATTTTCAACTAGCCACTTAAAATCATATTTGGATATTTAAAAAAAATCTACAAACTAAATAAAATTTGGACCTGCAACCTTTTTAAATTGTGCATAATTGTCGGGGTGATAACTGTTGGGTTACATAATCGCCAAAAAAAAAAAAAAAAATGTAAACTCTGCCCCTTTTTTAAATGAAGATAAAAAAAGCATTTAAAGTTGTCAAACACTTAAAAAACGGCATTATTACAAAACAAAATCCATCCTTAAATATTAAAAAAAATTACGGATAAATCAGATTTATTTCCAACAAACAAGTTTTTTTTTTTGAAGTGACGACAGTAACTAAAACAAAAAAATAATAATGAAAATTAAAGAAATTTTCTCACTTAATCTATTTGGTTATGTAACGTTAAATAAAGATTATTTATTTTTAAACATACATAAACTTTTTAAAACACGCTTTTTAATTTCACTTTGGCCATTATGAGGTAGACTTGTATCACGTTTTTGACAAAAGTTAAAGTAAATTTAAATTCACTAGAACAGTGGGCCATTTTCTTTTGACTATATAAAATCGAGGTTTAATTAACCTAAATAACTTACCTGAGAGAGCTCTTAAACTGCTCCTAAAAATTAAAGTGGTCGAGACAAGTGCCGCCATCTCACCAGGACAATTATAATCTAAAATCCGGATCCAAATAAAGAAAGTGAAAAACGAAATGCAAGGGAGAATACTCTGTCCTTAATATCTTATTTCTCAGGAAAACACAAATATTTGAATAAGAGAAAAAAGGGTAGTCAATGTTTATTTATATTTCAAAGTTTCTTCACATCCCCCTCAGAATATTTTCTCTTTCAACGTGTTTTCAGTTTGATGAATACATAAAACAATTATCTGTGCATTCTTTGTTAAATACCGAGTAAATACATTTTTGGAATTACTTTTCCTTTCTCAGAAGTAGAGTGCATTTTACAAGAAAAAGTAAATGGACATGTATCCATAAAGAAATACATAAATAAAAAATGATAACACTGTCACTTTGTCGAGTCCATAAAAAACAAATACAAATTAATTATAGTGTCAAAAATAATTATAATAAAATAATTATAATAATTATAATTATCATTAATTCATTCATTCTAAACCAATGAGAATCGACTCCACTTTTCTCCTTTACACACACACAAACACGTGACATTCTCACTATAGGATAAGCAGTTCACATGGAAAGGTCGTTAACACCCGCGTCAACAAAAATTTCATCTCCTTTTTCTTTTTCAGGCCATAATAGTAACATTAATCTTTTAGCACCCCCCAAAAAATGATATAAGAAAACCCCACACACTTCTTGTATTTTCTAACTAAATTATCTGGACACTCATTACATGCATTTATAAAAAAAAGCAACATATGAGAAAGACAATATACATTGCTTATTCTTTTGTCAGATTCTGATCTATATTTGATCTACCTTTAAGCCCAAACTCACAATTTTATTCAGTATTACTGTCTCTCATATCTCCAACACCACATAACAAACAGATAATAAATAATACTGATTTTATTGTTTCCACATCTTGCTGTTTCTCCTTTTATGAGATGTTACAGATGTGCGGTTTATCCGAAAAACTGACTTTTTTCGGTTTCATCTTCACACCGTGAAACCGCATCGTAATTTTTTACGAAACCGAACGATTTCGGATCCATTTTTATATCACTACTGAGTGACCATATCCAAAGAAACCCTATTGAAAGAGACTTTTAGATGTTAATAAAATTAAATTTTATCAACATTTATACCATTGTAAGAGAGAAAGTTTGAACAAAAATATGTTAAAATTAAAAATATTTAATTGACTAGTTTTAGGAAATAAATGTGAAATCTATTTGTTTACAAAAGAAATGAAGAAGAAAAAACGGAAATACGACATGATGTCTGAAAGTGAAATCTATTTGTTTCAGTTTAAAAAAAAAAAAACTTTTGCGGTAAAATTAAACAACAAAATAGCAAGTAAAAATAAAAAAAAATAGTTGCCATTTTCGTCTTAATGTTAAATTTTATGAAGTCGGATTTTTTTTAAGGGTTTTAAGTCATTACGCCAATCATGAAATAAAGTTGTTGTAATCAAGAAAAATGAATGAAGATTTTTTTTTATAAATAAATTTGTTTTTTTTTATCTAAGTTATGCACCTAAATTAGATATTAAGAATAAAATAGTTCTTAATTTTACTTTTAAGATGTGTATTGTTGGGGATGCGCAGAATGAACTAAGAATTTTGCTATAAAATAATAAATCAGAAGGAATTTTTATGTCAGGTTGCGTGATCTTCTCTTGCATCCACAACAATAAATAATTCTTGATATAAAAAAGGCAAAACATGCATGCAATTCAAACAAACAAATGCATTTATATACAAATAAAAATATTATATACAAAATATTTTACAAGATGTTATTGTGTTGCTATGTTCGTAGTAACTGAAGTTTTTTGTATGTCCTTTTTGTGTTTTGTTACGTATATTTGTATTACAGTCTTTAAGAAAATTGTAATCAGTGTTTAGAATATCGTTATTATGTTTTGTTTTTTTTTAGAATTGAGTCATTCAGAAGTAGTCTACCTTTAAACTAAGTATGTTCGATAATAGTACAGTGTAACCCGGATATAAGAGAGTTGTCGGGACCGGAGAAGAAGTCTCTTATATCCGGGTTTCTCTTATATATAGGTTTGGTCTATTTTGTTTAGATAAGTATGGGAACACTTCATATAACGCTTTTTACGTACAGAACACTAGTTTATTTAACAGTTATAGACATAAAAAACACAGACAAAAATACATTTACAATCAGTTTTCAAAATAATTCAATCAAAAATTACTTTTTCTTAAAAAAGTCAGTCATTTTTTATTGTACAGAAATCTCTTTGTTAACATCATGAACACTTTCATACAGTCCGTAAATCATTTTCAATGCGCCATCAGGATCACTGCTTTTTGCTTCAAAGTAGGCTGTCAGAGTTTCAAGCGCATTCAATGCAGCTAGAGAATTTGGCACTGGTTTGTCACTTTCAGAAACTTCAGAACTTACACTTTCAGCATCATCATCATCGTCAAAATCTTGATCATCCGATTTTATAACATGTGTGATGTCCGTGTCAGTCAGTTCTCCATAACATTGTGTACGGTCGTCGAAGCTGATAAATTCGTCAAAATCTGTTTGCTCCATGCCCGATGGTGGAGAAACTTGATCATTTTCGTCGAGTATTTCTTCCACTTCAGCCTGTGATTCAATGACAAAGCCGGCCTTTTTAAAAGTTTTGAATTGTTGACGGTTTGACCATGAAAAGTGCTCGCTTCATCATGTGCATGGCCTTCAAAACAGTTATCTGCTTGGCCACCTCGGACAGCGGCACTGGCGGTGTAGCATTGATCGCTGCGATTTGCATTCGAACAAGTTCCCGACGATAATACGCTTTGAATGAACGAATGATGCCTTGATCCAAAGGTTGAATGAGACTGGTGGTGTTTGGTGGCATGAACGACAATTTGATATTTGACAGATTTGTACCCGGCAGTAAGTTTCATTGTCCAAAAACAGAATAATCTTTCGATTTTGAGCAATCATTTTTCGATCAAACATTTTCATAACGTCAGTAAACAGCTGACTAGTCATCCAGGCTTTACGATTAGCGAAGTAAGAAAACGGCAGAGTTTTGACATTTTTAAAGCAGCGTGGTTTTGCCGACTTACCAACAACTACAGCTTGCTTTTCACTGTCGTCCATGTTTGTGAACTGAAGCATCGTGAGTCTGTCTTTGGGAACTTTTGTCCCATTTGACTGTTCCTCGCCGGCAAATCGCAAAGATCCAGACGGCATGGCTTTGTAGAAAATTCCCGTTTCATCACAGTTCCAAACATCTTTTGGATCATATCCACGAAAAAGTTGCGGCAAAACGTTTGTCACCCATTCGTTGGCAGAACCGTGATCTGCTGACGTTGATTCGCCGTGAAGTTTTTTGAACGAAATGTTATTGGCCTGCTTCCAGCGCATGAGCCAGCCATTGTTCGGTTCAAAATCAACTTCAAGATTTACGGCCAGTTGTGATGCTTTCTGCCTGATGACGTGATCGGTGACGTGCTTGCGTAAACCATTGTGTAAGCGCTTCGTTAACGTCCTTGTGCACGGATTGTCGCTTTCGTTTGCGATTAGTGTTTCCGTTCATTTGCATGCAAGATCTGAGATCGTCTTCTTTCTTGAGAATTTTTGCTGCTGTTGAATAACCGATTCCGTACTTTTTGGCTGCAGCGGCCAGTTTGAGTTTCTTCACTTTGACATCGTCGATGAGCTTCAACTGTTCAGAAATGCTCAGAGTTTTTTGTTGAGACGCCGACATCACTAATCGCAATGATCGATAGCAAACGGTTTTCAGTGGCAAAATTAACAAACAGACAAACTTCTGACTCAACAAAACAGTGGGTAAAGTGAAAGTGCTGTCCAGTAAATGCAACGACAAGCAAAGTCGGCAAAAAAGCGGGCGGCGCTACCCTTAGACACACAAAGCAAAATCATGAGGTAGAGGGTGTCTCCTACAGACACAGATTGGACACACCGTGTCTCTAGACTAGTTAAGATTAAGTCATTGAACTTCACTCTCTCTCTAACTGACCTCTGTTTGACCGATTTACGACATCATACTGTCACTCAAAACGAACTCTCTTATATCGGGGAGGACGGGACCAGAGAAAATCTCTCTTATATCCGGGTTTCTCTTATATCCGGGTTTCTCTTATATCCGGGTCTAATTTATATACATTAACACAGGCTCTAATTTGGGACCAGAGAAAATCTTTCTTATATCCGGGTTTCTCTTATATGCGGGTCTCTTATATCCGGGTTACACTGTATTTACTTAATTTGTAGTGAGTGTTAATAATTCACTTTGGATAAGTAAAGTCTTGTGAGTAGAAGTTCTTTGTATTCACAGAGTAATCTTCGAGTCGAGTTAGTGAGTGAGTCAGTTATGGTTTCGTTTGCGCGGGAAAATTATAATTGCAAGTGATGTGAATTAGATTAGCGTTTCTCTGTGTTTGCTGGACTGACTGATTTATTATTGACTGATGATCAAAGAGAATGTATAGTTTGAGATTCTTGAATGACGAAGAAGTTCGTAGAAGATATGCGAGACGTGAATAGTAGTCGTCACATTTTTAAGCTTGAGTGAGCGGACGAAAAATGGTCTTCTGCTGATCTGCCCAGGTCTGCATCTCCGTGTCACACGTGCTTTGGGTTCTTTTTAAGAGGTCATGATCACGTGGGTGGCTCCAGAACGATTTTGCGCGAAAACTTCGAAGTGCACGTGCGGGCGACCTGATTGGTAGAAATGAACCAATCAGAGGGCTAGATTTACGAATGAAAGTTGGAATAATGCATTACTCGAAGAAGGTAAGAGTGTGCTAATAGACGAGCCCAATAGTATATTTCCAAATATGCGAGTCTCTTTTTTCTGCAAATAAAATTGTTTCTATCTAGCGAATAAACCTAAAATTAGATATTAAAAAAAAAGTTTTAATCTTAGTTTTAAAATGTGTATATTTTTAAAACTGCAAGTCATTTTTTTAAACCCAAAGTAAAAATTATTCTTTTTATAGCCACTAGTGTTCGGTGGGTGTTTGTTACTGCTTGGCCTATAAAATTCTTCTAAACAAGGAAAATTAATTCATTTTATTTTTACAGATATCTACTTTATGGTTTTATCTGGCGAATAATACACTTAAGTAAGATAAAATGATTAAAATAGTTTTTAATTTCAGTTTTAAAATGTGTATCTAAAAAAAAGAACAGGTGCTTTGGAAATCTACACAGTGTGGCGGACTTCCATCACATTTATTTAATTTTGTTTAGGAAGCCAAACTGATGTGAAGAAAGGACAAACAAACAAGACCGATGTATATAAACAAATATATGTATTAAACAAAACATTTACAAAGCACATAGACAGTTAACATTGTGTTTGTGTGTGAATATATGTGTGTGTGTGTGTGAACGTTCGTATTTTGGTGAATGTTCATAGTGAATGTTTGTACGTACGTGTATTTTGGTGATGTTCATTAACGTCTGACCGCAAAGTCAAGACGATAATTCTCTGGGACTACATTTTGCAGCAAGAATAGAGAAGAAAGAGAAATTTACCTCACCTCCACGCGAGGTGGGATTCGGCACGAAGCTTGAAGGAAAAAAGAGGAAGAAGCAAACCGCCTTGGAGCAGTAACAGACGGTGAGAGTAGCGGTGATGGTTATGGTGGTAGAAACAGCAGCAGCGCTTTACGTGCCAGTTCTCTAATTGTTCTCAAAGACCTGCTTTTAAGCGGGTCTGGTAGTCCCTAGGGACAACTCTTTTTCTGGTGGGAATGATCGCGACTGGCCACTGCTGGACCTCGCTTCGTTGACTGGATATGATACGTGGAGCCTAATGTGCAGAAAACAACTTTTGTTATTTCATCCTCTGCCTTCGTTGTGTTCACATGCGACGAGAATGCAGAATGAATTAGAAAGAGATCTAATTGCGATGGAATATACGGTGATGAAAGATTCAGAAGGAAAACTGAAAGAACTATTATACAAGGTATTGATGAAATCAAGAAGGACTAGTCATTAATTATAAGAAGATGAAATGCATGGCTGTGAGCAAAAGAGACAGTTCAATATGTGAGTTGCACATTGGGGATGTCAAAATCAAATAAGTGTGAAAATTCAATGATCTGAGCAGTGTAGTGATAGACAACAGAAAAATGAATAAAAATATCAAAAGATAACTTTTTAGAAAATGAGTAAGTAACCGATTCCGTACTTTTTGGCTGCAGCACACTATATAGTTGTTAGATTGTTCAAAAATAAAATTAGACAACAAAAAAGTGCTGGATTGTTATATCTACAAACATGGCAATGAAAACTGGACAATTTCATTACAAATAAAACAAAGTTTAAACTACAGACACGCAAAAAATGGTATGTCAAAAGGACATTTTTTTCTCTTGTCCCCACTATTACTGTATACTTCTTCGATTACTTTGGCAATGTTAATTACCTTTTAAAAATCTATTTTTAGAATCTTAATAACAACAAAAATCTTACACACTATATAGTTGTTAGATTGTTTATTTACAAGATTAATTTTATATTTATATTTATTTTTAGAAGTTTATAAAAAATATGTGAAGTAATATTTATTATTTACCACTTTATAAAGAAGTTTTACCCAACATGAGGACTGCAAGCCGGAGATAATTTCTATATCTGATGAAGATATATTTCCATAGGAAATAGTGCATGGGAGTGTAAGTGACACCCTGTGTCAGCTGTTTGAACTGGTCAGAAACCTGGACAAGATAAATGCTTGGTTTGATACATGGAAACTGACTGACTGACTGACTGACTGACTAGCCACTTTTGTAACTCTGTGAAGTGATGTCACTAAGCAACTACACATGACCCACGTGAATTCATATTGACTAAATGAAGATAATCGCTTTGCGTATCAAAAACTACCAGTGTATAACATTTTTGTTGTTATTAAAATGCCGCTACTAGTATGATATCTACCGAGGTATTTGCGACCTAATGTAAATGAAAATGCACTCTACCAAACAACTTACTTACGGCCTACAGCAATTCATTCCTCAAACTACATTGAATGTTATTTTAACCTGGGGTATTTATTATTATGGGGTATTTATCTAATTTGTATTCATAAAGGAGGTATTTATGTAATTCCATTACAAAATAAAAATGCTAATATCAGATAAAATAATCTCAATTGAAGATGGAGCGATGTCCTTTTAAAGAGTTAGGGTTAGGTTTGAGGTTAGGGTTGGGGTTTTTAACATATTTCATACTTCCAACAGTTGGTAAATATCATACCATAGTAAAAAAAAATGAATAGTAGATATCATACTATAGTAGAAAATGGATGGTAGATACCATACTATAGTAGCACCATCAAAATTGTAAACATATTTTTAATAGTTTTTAAAGCAATAAACATTGCCAAGAGAGTTGAAGAAGTACACAGTAAGGGTAGTGTCAAGAGAAAAAACATCACACCAATTTTTGTGGGTCCAAAAGTTAAACCTACCCGAAAAAGATTTAAATGTGATTTTAACAATGTATGCTGAGAATAACATGGACATGGCATATAATAAGTGAGGAGTTTTTAAGGAGAAGCGGAACTACAAAAAAAGTTACTGCTAACAATCAGAAAGAGACAGCTTAAATTTTGTGGACATGATAAGAAAAGATGGCTCAGCAAATTTAACATTCATAGGGCACATCAAAGGGAAGAGATGCATACGAAAAGAGCAAGTAAAATGCTTGACAATTTTGATAAAGAGTAATCATAGATCATGTTAGAGCAACAAATGACAAGAAGCTGTAGAGAACCATGATTGGCATACCCTGAAGAAACATGGAATTTATAGTTTCATTATATATATATATATATATATATATATATATATAGAGAGAGAGAGAGAGAAAGACAGATAGACAGAGACAGAGACAGAGATCGTTTTTTTTTTTGCTAACAATACGATTTCCACTGGAAAATACCGCATCTACAAAAACATCTGTCGGTGAGAAATTCTCATTTCTCTGTTTATTCTTCGGTCCGTTGATGAAGGACACAGGCATGTTAAAAAATTCAGAACTTAAAAACCTTTCTGTCTATGCTTCATTTCTGTCGTATGGTCAATAATTAATATTTAATAAATGTTTATTGCACAGATTATATTGGTAATCTTTCGTTTGTCCTTGTTTACTTATCTATTATATATATATATATATGCAATTTTTATATATATTATTTATATGTCATATATGCGTGGTACTTATTCGAAAGCGCTCAAAATTAGTGATAAAGCTAACATATTTTTTGTGACCCTGAGTTTTCACCCTCTCTGCGATTGTCAGACAAACTGATTCATTTTTGAAATTTGGGATTTTTATTTAGGGTTGCGTATATCGCAGGATGTTTTCTTGCATACACATATATACTTATGCACGCGCGTTCACACACCTTCTATCCGTCTGTTTTTTTTTTAATCATTAAGATGGGGACTATGTTAGACTATGGTAGGTAAAATTGTTATTATTTTTGATTTTTTAATGCTGTTTTGTTATTATCTTAAAGCCGGTTAGTTGCTTGTTTTTGGCGATTGCGCTTATGTAAATGGTAGAAACTCTAATTTATAATATTTATTGGTATTCATGCGGTAGTATTAATTTTGCTTGGTGGCGTGAAGGAAGTATAATTGTGGCCAAATCGGTAATGGTAATTGTGGTGCGCTAGTAATTGTGGACTAATGCGGCAATAGTAATTTTGGTGCGGTAGTAATGGTGGGAGGAGTGGGTGATAATGATAACAATTATAGCAACAAATAGTTATGGTAAAATCGTAGAAGTGATTGTAGTAATGGTGGTGGAATGGTAAAAACAATAATAATAATTATTATGATGGTAGTTTGAATTAGAAAATAATTGATGGTGTTATGGTGTCAGTGGTTTCTCTTTTCGTGTTCATAGGATCAGTGGTGGTTTATGTAGCATATTTGTTGGTATTTTTTTATCGGTTTGGTATAAATTGTGATAATAGGTATTTGTTTTCATGTCTGCATTTAGAAATTATTTCTGATCTTATGTTTAGCAATTTCTTTTGTTGGGTGTGGGAAATTATTGCTACCTTTTCGTGTAGGCAAAGTAGGCATTTCTTTCTATGTCGTTGTAGGCAGGTGCGTTTTTCAATATTTCCCAGATTATTCTTGGTGTAATATTTCTGTCTTTTAGTTGCCATATGTAACTGGATAGTGTAGTGTAGTGCTGTTTAAGTATTTTCTGTCGGAGAATGAGAGGTCGTGGTTGTGTTTTCTTTTCTTGAATGGTCCTTCAATGGCATCGATGTAGTACATTGTGCTTTTGTTTGCACTTACCCTGGCTTTATATATTATATTTGTTTGTTGGTAGTTCTCTTGGAGTGGACATGTTTTATTTATGCAGTTGCACTGAGGTTCCTTGATTGCGTTATTGCAGGTTGTTACTTTTTTGTTCTGGCATTTTATTATTTGCGTTATATTGTTTTGTGCAGCTGTAACTAATTTTTACGTTATTTTTGTTGAATATTTTTGCCAAGCGATTTGTTGCAGGTAAGTGCTTGTCTATTAAGTTTAGGAATGTCCTTCCTATGTTTGTTTTGATGGTTTTGTTGTATAGTGGGTTAAACCAGATAATATTTTTTTTTCTGTTTTTGTGTTTCCATTGTGGAGGTGTGTATTGTATTTGTTGTGTGCATCCACTTTTTTAGTGCGTCGTCATATGGCATTTTCTTGAAAATGTCTATGTTTGATGAGTTTTCAGATAGCCTGCGGCTGATTGATATGGGTATTTGCTTGATGATTGAAGGTGGATGGTTGGAGTATGTGTGTACGTAAGTTGGGGTGTCATTATCTTTTTTGTGTGGTTTGTATGTATTTTTGTTCAGATTGAGAGTGACGTCTAAGAAGTTTACTGTTCTTGTACCCGCATTTATTTCTATTTTAAATCCAATTGTTTTTAGGGCATTTACAATTTTTTCCTAACTCTGTCTAATTTGGGGCCATTTGGTTCTCTTATCAGGATAAGTCCGTCATCTCTATATAGGCCCGTGTTTTTTTTCTCTAGAATCCTGGCTAGATATGAGAGGATGAATATACCTACTAATGCACAGATTACTACTCCATCATAGCTACCCATTGTACATCAAATAGGTTGTAATTTTGTTTGTTTTTTTACCCATGGTTCATTATTGTGGAACAACAAAGATTTACGACAGTGCTTAATTATTTTAATATCACCGTCTGTAATTTTTACATGTTGTTGTGCTAGTTGTATAGCGCCATTCAATATGTTTTCCGTAATGGATGGGTAGAAATTCATTATGTCAAACTGCATGAAAGTAGCTTTGTTTTTGTTTTTTTTATTGTTGTAAACCAGTCGGTGACAACTTTGGTATTTTTCCATTGGTTAAGTTCTAATTTTTCCCTTAGTTTGGTATTTTGTTTCTAATATGTTTTTACTGATACTGCATGCGTATATATGTGTGTGCAGGAAAATATTATCCCACGAACAAAATAGACAAACAGCGTGTGAGTGGATACTGTGATTTAGAAAGAAGTTCGCTACACAATTCAACATTGAATACAGAAACTAATTGCATACGTATGCACGCAACAACACATGGATGCGCATATATACCAAGTTCCACACTATTCATATGTTTATGTTTGCGTGAGCTGCAATGTGTGAACGTGCGTGTATGTATGTCTGCGTACGTATGAGTGGCGTTCTGATAATAAGTTTTCCTCCCACTACCATAAAGCACCGATATATGCAACCATGAATAAATCCAAAATTTAAAAAATTAATCAGTTTGTCTGACGATCGCAGAGAACGTGAAACTCAGGGTCACAAACTCACATCAATCCAACTATATATATATATATAATATATATATATATATATATATATATATATATATATAGAGAGAGAGAGAGAGAGAGAGAGAGGGAGGGGGTTTTTCCACGGGTGCATAGTATTTAGTGGGGGTGATCCGACTTTCTAGTTAGGATAAAAAGAGGAATTATTTTTTCAATTATTTTTTAAAGACGTTCGAAAACGTATTGAATAATAAGGCTCCGGGTGTTTATTTTCTAGGAACTGTATATGTTGAGCACCGACTGTAACCTTCACAACGCGAGTCAACAACAATGACGCCGGAACGTGTTCAATGGCTGAACCGACAAAACACGATTCGTCGCTTAGTTTTTACTCCCGCTCAGAAAAGGAATTGAATTACCAACGGAAAAAATGAGGTAAATTTCTCATTTACTACATTTTAAGCAAAGGTTATTTCTGGGAGAGGGGTAATTTTTTTATTTTTTTAACGTCTTGAAATGTTCTTTGCCTTTTCCTTTTAACAAAAAAATCGTTTTTTTATCTTTTTTTTTTTTTTTTATTATTCAAGTCTAGTCAAGTCCGGTTTAGGAATTCGATTCGGATAAGTTTTTTTATGATTCTATTCAATACTCTTGACAAAATTACTGGTTTAAATTAAAAGATCTTTTTATTTCACTAGTTTCATAAGAAAAAGTTTTCCTGCATTTGTGATTTATTCAATAATAAATCACTACAGAATAATTTTTCTGTAAATATCAGGTCATCCCATAAGTTCTGTCCGAATTTTGAATAAAGAAAACAAGTGACCAAATGTTACATTTAATTATAGATTCAATCAACAATGTATTTGCCCTGATTATCTATGACTTCCTTCCATCTATTAACAAGCTTTTAATTCCATTATTGTAAAATTCTTTTGGCTTTGATTCGAAGAACTCACAAATGTCAGTGAGTTACAAAAGCTGTTTCTTCCAAATGATTCTGTAAGCTACGAAACAAATGGTAGTCTGAAGGAGCAAGATCGGGAGAATAAGGTGGATGAGGAATTTTTCTCCCAACCAAGTTCTTCGATCTTTTGACGTGATTCTCGCTGTGTGGGGTCGCGCATTGTCCTGATGAAACATTACCTCTTTTCGATTCACTAGAGTAGGTCTTTTTTTCCTCAAAGCTTGGTTCAAATGCTCTAATTGCTGACAGTATATTTGAGCATTAATTGTTGTATTAGGTGGTAAGAATTCAAAGTGGATTATTCCTTGGCGATCCCACCAGATTGAAAGAAGAACCTTTTTTTGCCCATGAAGTTCCCTTCTCGGCTGTGGCTGGGGTCCTTCACCTTTACCAAGCCACTGTCTACGACGCTTAACATTTCGATAAAAGATCCATTTTTCGTTGCCAGTCACAAGTCTATCCAAAAAAGGTGAAACAAGTTGACGAGAATGGAGAGAAGAGCAGATGTCAACTCGGAATTTGAGGTTGTTTTCAGACAATTCATGAGGCACCCATTTTCCAAGTTTAGGAACATTTCCAAGTTGTTGAAGATGACGATGAACAGTTGTATGGTTTGAACTGAGAACCACTGCCAATTCCTCAACTGATAAAGCAGGATTTTCGTCAAGGGCTGCTTCAAGAAGCTTTTTCATCAAACTCAACTGGACGTCCGGTTCGATTTTCATGTTCAAGGGTGAACTGAAATCTCCACCTCTGAATTTTGCAAACCATCTTCTGCAAGTTCTTTCATTCACACATTCCTCTCCATAAACTGAGTGAATGTTTCTAGCCGCTTCGGCTGCTGAGTTTCCTTTCTTGAACTCATAAAGCATTATGTGCCTCAAATGATTCTTTGGTACTTCCATGTTAGCAGGGTTTTCAAACAAAATTTAATTGTATTGTTCTCCGAGATAAAATTTGATCAGTTTAAAAATGCATCTCTAAACATAAGAATAATGTTCAGCTCCATTAGACATTATAAAATACTCTTTCTTTAAATTTCGTTCATTTTAACAAAAAGTTAAAATTCAGACAGAACTTATGGGATGACCTGATAAAAAATTAAAAACATTTACTCAGACTCGAAATATCATATTCACAGTGAGTGTTTGGTAGTGATCAATATTGCGTTTTTAGAGGATTTTTCAAAGATTACGAAGAAATTTTGAAATTGTGTTGAATGTATCTGCGAAATTTAATTTTTTTTTTTTTTACCATTAATTAGTGTAGTGTTTAGTACCTATGTACCTTTCCTACATAAGGTGCGAGTCATACTCCAAAACAAAAATATGACTTTCATCTTTAAATGATCATCGGGAAAAAATGAGTAAAAATAAAAAAAAATACTCATGAAAACAAGCTTCTGATTTATCTTTTTCATCTGCATTCATTCAATCTTCCTTTTTCTTGCGTTTTTTTTTTTTTTTTACATTCTCTAGCTTTTAGTTTTAACTTTTAAGTGAACTATATTTTTTTTTAGTTTATCAACCTTTCTATCTTTTCTCTTCCACGCCTTCTTTCCTCGTCTTTCGTACTTTTCCCAATTCTGCTGTTGCTTGGAAATGAACAGATAAGCTAAGCAGTTCATGGTTATATTTTGTGTGCGTATGTAGCACTTTTCACAGAGCGCACAGTACACATTATCGCACAGATCATCTATGTAGAAGTGCCCTTCTATTGTAAAATCCCATCAAATACAAGTATGTCAGTATTGAATTAAAACTAGGAGGTAAAACCATGCACACTTTCGACATGTGGAAAAAAATAAAAAAAATAAAGCGATAACCTCCTTCCCCCCCACAAAAAAAAAATAAAAAAATAAGACGTCAGTGGATTATCGGATTTTCAGCATTCATTTTTAAAAATAGTAAATGAATGAAATTATATTGAAACTTTATTTAATTTTTAAAGTTTTGTACTTTTTTTGTGGAAGTAATTTTTTCGGGCCAATTTAACTCTCCCCGCGTTATTTAACTTGCGGCTAAATCTGTAGTCATGAATTAGATGTTTCTCTAATTTTTACATTTTTAATTTTTTATAAAGCTAAATTCCTGAAGGTGTTGTTACTGCTATCATTATTGTGTGAACACATAGAAAAACCCATTTTAGAGCCACCGAAGATTATTGAAAGTTGTAAAAACTTTCAATAATCTACTCAAGTTGATGGTAATTTTGCCTGTATAATAAAGTCTTTGATGTCCTTTATAAATGTTAAAAACAACAGTATACACTACAGAAATAATTTGATTAAGGAGGAGTAACTGACCTGAAAAATATTTCCAAAAGTTTTCTTATTGATGGGCTTCCATACTTTTTTTTTTTATTTATGGCACGAATTTTTGTAAGTACGCTCCTACTTAGAAAAATTCGTGGTAAGGGTTGTAAGATTACAATAAATTGTTTGAGGTTTGAAGGTGTTGACAATGTTACCCTACTGGGGAAAAGTTTTTTTTTTTTTTTTGGCATAGAAAAAGTAACTTTTCTATTATAAAAAAAAATCGAATTAGTCCTTAAGCTGAAGAGACTTACTAATTACTAAAAAGTTTGGAACAAATATTGTATTTTTTAGACATTTTTTAAAAAAGTGTTTTAATTTCTCTTTTGTTGATGCCCATCAAATTCGTTAATCGAACTGTACAAAAGTAAATTTGATTTTACGTTCTTGGTTTAGAAATGCGTAAAAAAACAACCGAAAATCGCATAAATAATTTAAACGTCTTCCCTTCTTTTGAACTTAAAAAAATGGGTTTTGAATGCTAGTCCGAATTAAGGGAAAATTAATTTTGGTGTATGAATTTTTAAAATATTGGTCATTGAGTTATTGAACCACTATAATAGACGAAAAATGTAAAGAACAAATTTAAAAAGCTCTTTAAAAAATATCCAATATTTGTCCTAGAGATATGTTTCGAAGTCATTTAGTAAATTTAAGTGTGTAAATCCCTCTTTTGAGGGTTTTTTTGTAACACATTATTTATCAGTTGCGTCTCTGTTGTAGCGGGCCGTGGGTTTACGCGTTGTTAAATTAGGAACACGTGTGTTTATTCCTGCTAGAGAAGAAGGTCCAAATACAAGAACATGGCGGACTCAGAGATTGAATCCACCATAAAGAAGTGTAAAGAAAATCAACAAGACCGATATATAGATACAAACAAGTATATGTATTAAACAAAATTTACAATGGACATGGACATTACCATTTGTGTTTGTGTGTGAACGTAAAGAGTTTGTATTTTGGTGAATGTTCGTACGTACATGTGTGTGTTTTATGGCGTTTTCCCACAAGTGGGCAAAACGCAGATCTCTGCGAGAGATCACATTTTGTAAATGTGTCCGCTGAAATGCAAAGTAAGAAGAGAGCGAGGCAAAAAATCGTCCAGTATTTATAGTGTAGGGAGAGCATGCCCTAGTGAACTCCGACACTGTCTTTGGGCAGAGTGCACTCAGGGGCGACCCCATCAGAGGACAGAGCCGCAACTGGGGAAAAATTAGCCTTGGGGAACAGCTGTCCGAGGCCGTGCCCTCTCATTGCACCAGAGAGAGGGATCGGTGCTCGCACCGAGCCCAGCGCAACCGAAGGTTGCGGGGCCTGCGGACAATTTTTGTACGTACTCGGGTACCCACCTTAAAAAAAGACCTTGTGTCACAACTCGTCTTACCTAGTAAATTTAAGAATTCAATTAATTAACTATATTTTGTAAATGCAATGTTTACTTAACACTTAATGAAAATAAAGTTTATTTACACACGGTACCCTGTGGGGACAGGTCAAAATTAAAAATCTAATCACACCTCCTGACTTTAAAGCGAGCGAAAAATTAAAATTAAAAATAAAATGAAAGAAATACGGAATACCAACAGTGCAATAATCAAGATATTGGTATAATTTGTTTAAAAATAATTTCTTTAACCTTGTAGAATGAATAATTTAATTAATTGTTTATGCTACATTAGATTAAAGTAGAAGTAATTTTATTTATTTTTTTAGTTAATGATACTTTTGACTTTAATAAATTACTTTTTTTATTTTTTTTATTTTCGTACCTGTTTGATGTCATTTTAAAATTGTACCCAATGTGTGTGAATTATAAATTATTCTGAATTTAAGAGTTATTGAATTATTATATCAAATTACTCTTCTGATAAAAAGTAACCAAAGACAGTAACTCAGAATTATGTCCTTTTTTGAATATCTACGAAAAATAATCTAACAGTTGCTAAAATAATAAAAAAAATCTTTTAAAAAAATGCCACATTCGAAAATGGCGTTGAAATTATTGCATTTTTGGATTTTTCGAACATGTCATTATTTAATAAACAAATCTCATACAAACTAACTAACACTAACGTGATGAATTTCAAAATCGCACAGAAAAATTACAAGTAATTTAAAAAAAATAAATTGAATTGATTTTTTTTCTGTTCAGTC